TTCTCTGAAAACTCTTTAATGCTGTAATCTTAATTCCAAATCTATCCGGTAGAGTTCTCATTAACTTCTGCACTTGTCTTGCTTATGGAACAAGTTCACCAAGCATTACGCTTTGGTTTACTAGATCTCAGAAGCGAGCATAGTACATATAAATAGTTTCATCATCCCTCATGCGAATCTCATCAAGCTCGGTAGAAACTCTTTGGAGCTTTGAGGTTTTAACCGCGTTTGTACCTTCAAATTGTCTTTCCAAGATCCTCCAAGCTTCTTGAGCGGTTGTGCACTGGATGATTATCTTGTGACGAGTGGGATCTACAACAGACATGATAGCATATAGAGCTCGAAAATTAGCTTTTTTGCTTGTTTTTCATCATCAGTCCAAATACCCCTTGGTTTTTCGACCAGAACTTTAGTAGTCGATGTTGACAACTTTCCATCTGAGGACTCACCTCCGTTAGATTCAGCGGGAACTTTTTCCATGAGTGGTACCATCCAACCAGATTCAACGGCATGCCACGTGCCTTTACCAAGAGACCGAAGAAAGATCACCATCATGGATTTCCAGTATGTGTAATTAGAGCCATCAAGAAATGGAGGGCGCGAAACAGACATCCCATCGTGATTCATAGTGACTGACACACAGTCCCAAAGATCTTTATCCCGTAATTAGAACAGGAACACTGCTCTGGTGCCAATTGAAACGTATAATAAATTGCGAGTGCGAGAAATGTAGTACGAACGTGATCAGCAATTGTAAATGCGGAAGCGATAAACCGAAGATTTCAAAAAAACTCTCCAGGAAAGCATCCCACTTTCCCTTAGAGCTCTTTCGTTGATAAATCATACAACGACATAGTTCGGACTTACAAGACTCGAACTCTCTTCTAGTCTAGCCACAACTATTCACGATCCTATCAACTATTTCTCTGGCCACGTCCCGTGGACTTTTTAACCTACACTTAATCTCTAAGTGTAAAACACAAAATAGTTTGAGTGAAATTAAGAAAACAAACTAAACAACTTCAGTTCTCGGATGCGTAAAAACCCTCAAACTGAACTGTGAACAAAAACTAATTGAACAAAATCTCTATCTAAAGCTCGAATATTGCTCTATATAATAATAATATCAGCAGCCGCAATTGAAGCTTCTCATAGGGTATTTATTCAGTCTCCTTAGGGTTGGAGTCTTCTCCAAGAATAGGACTCCTCATATGATTTTCTTCCTTATATGTAGCATGTGTTTTGGTAAATGTGGATCTTCTCTTCTCTCTCCTAGATCTCCTAGTCATGCATGTCTCTCCTTCCTTGTTTTCACATGTTTCTGATTTCCTACAAGAGAGATACCATAATAAGATCCATGTAATCTTATATATGAAATGCAAACTAAGCTACGTAAATAAATAGAATAATACAATGATCTTCCCTTTTTCGATAGTTCCAGGAACTTGTTCGAACATGTCTTCAACTATGTGAAATTTCGAACTTTTGCCAAAACAGAATATCTTTCATTCATGAAATTAAAGCATAAACCCCTAACAAGTTACATCAACTATATCTTGTAAACATTTAATTGTTTATAACTCCCAGGTTATCTAGCAAATATAGATTTAGTCCATAATAATCTTTTTCTCATATATACTTCAAAATAAACGTCTCTATACAGTTCTTTCAATTATTAATAGGAAAAAATATCATATAACCTCAAATAGACATTACTAGACAAAAAACATCTAATAGCTGCACAATCAACTTACAGATCCTAAAATAGTTAGCTAAATGCATGAACATGCTCTTTATGTTGTAATAATGTAGAATTGTAGATTGGTTAGTTGAGATATCTAATTAACAGTAACTCAAAACACTGACAAGAGAAGCAAGAACGTCTGAATTCATTCTTCCACGAGCTACAACCCCGGTTGATAAGCTACAGCCTCGGGTCCTGTGGCCCAAGCTGGGCCAGCTAGCGGTGAGTCTCAGCGAGCGGGTCGTGCACGCCACGTGTAATCCGCAGCAACCGCGCGCTACGCTGCGGAGACTCACAGTGGTCGCATAGAGACCTACAGCAGCCTGGTCGTGACGCCACATGTGCCCAGTGTGCCGAAGTCGTTTGCCAGTGATCGCAGTGGTGTCGAAGCGACCCCGCAACATCGCTTGCATACTAGAAGCCTTACCCAGCGATCCCAAATGCAGCAACCGCGTGCCCGCGTCCCAATAGCGTGCAGCCCCGCGCCCAGGCATACAACCAGTGACCCTAGGCGTGCCCATCGACCAGCTGTTGGGAAAAATACGCTGAAATTTCCATGAAGTCGGATCTATAAAAGTGAAATAAAAAGAAAAATTGGACACGCCAAATTGATAACGGAGTTCGGCCAATAATGCCTACGTCTCCGGACTACTGCAGATATTTTATTGGGAAAAAGAAATACACTCGTGTTTACAAAACACTCTCGAAACCACTCACAACTCACAACTCAAAAAATACACACAAAGACTAATTATTTTTAGCTCTCTCTCTCTCTTTCTTTTCTCTTGAAATGTTGTTGTATTTTTGTTGTAGTTTGCTTCAAAATTGTGCTCCTATTTATAGCTGAAAAATGTGCAAAGTTGCTGCAGAATTTGTGCAACTTTCGGCTGCAATTTATTGCTCAGCCTCCTTCAACATTAATTTCAGCCACAATCATTAATTAAAGCCACCATAGCCACCTTATTAATGGCCTCGTGCAGCCAAAATTAAAGTGGTCCCAAATTGTCTCTTATCACCAGCACCGTGCGACCTCGTGCCAGTGGCCTGGCAGTAGCCCAATTGCGACAAGTGCGAGCCGCCAGAGCCACTAGAAGCCACAGGTAGTGGTCAGACCGCGCTGACCTCGTTCCACGCGAGCCTTTGAACCTTTCTCGAGTCGTCGAGTGACTCGAGTCGGTTTTTTCGAGTCGTTGAACCTTTTATTTTCTTAGCCCTTTTTTTTTGCATTTTTAATTTATTTTTTTTTTATTTTTTTTCCTTAAATCAAGAGTTTCAAATTTCTCTAAAAATTTTATAAACTCCTTAGTCATTAATTTTTTATTAAGTGAAAAATTTCAATAATTTCCAAGTTATCGAAGTAATTTGCTTTGAAAAATTATCTTGCTTAAATGTAGGATTCTGAAGAGTCTTGCCCTCGAACCTACATCAACTTTTGCATTTTTTTTCTTTTTCGATCAGAGGTGGGCGTTGATAAACTTTACTAAGCCTTTATTTCTTATAATCGTTTGATTCCATAATCAAGATATGTGTGTGAACCACTAGTCTATGAGTTGATCTCCCGTCGGTGGGTGATGCCAACAGTTTTCTATTTTTGGCTAATGAGTTGATCACTCGTCGATGGATGATGCCGACTGTTTGGGTCCCGTCAATGGATGTGTCGACGATAAAGGTGTGTACACATGAGCGTAGGGCGCGGGAGGGAATAGATGTGGTGATTTGTGTTCATGTTGCGATTATATTTTTCTGTTATTATATTGAATATATTGCATAGTAATTCCCACGGTGAGTATAGTGCCCCTTTCGATTTGTAGGATTTTTTCCGTATTTATTATTTGATTTTCTTGTATTTATGTTATTGGTTGTTCTTGTTTCATTTTATGATTGTTTGCTTTTATTTTATGTTATTTTTGTTTGCAATTGATTAATTGGTTATATTTTTTAATAAAAAAATACATGAAATGATATACTCATATCTCATTATATATAATTGCAGAATGCGTTAAGCCTGAGTGGCAGTCTCGCATGCTTCAGAATCCTACTTGGCGAAAAAACATGCTTCGTAGTTTGTTTTGGATAAAAAAATAAGATTATTCTAAATCAATAATTTTAGATTCAGACATTCCAAAAATATTGAAAAACTAACTTGGTAATTCCATAATAATTTGACTAATATAACCCATGTATTGGTAATGGTATTTTTTTTCAAACGTTTATTTATAAGATAAGATGTACAAGTCGAAAGACCGAAGTCTCATTGTCTAAATAAAATACAGATTGAGTTCACCCCCATGGTGACTTAAACTCAAATACAACAATAATCAAAGGCCATAGGCAGAATACATATCTGAACCCTACAACTATCAATAACAACCCAAACCATAAGAAAAAACAGGCAGGGAAGCAATTCTTGAACAATGGCTACATGAAGCATATAGATACATGAAAGTGCATTATCTATTGAACCGAAAGGGCCTAGATGAACAACACTATCAATACTGCACTTCTCTCATCAACCTGCATTTCTTGAATTCCAACCAATCACTTGAAGCTGCCTGGATAATAGCATGATCCGGCATCCAAGTATCTTGAAACTTCCAGAGGTTGCGGGACTTCAATATATAGCCACCATAAAATATATGTAGACAACTCTATCCTGGCTTCTGAAATATCTTTCATATCTACTAACACACATCCCACCACCAGTGCATAAAAAGGATTCTAAGTCAGCTAGCTCTTCCCATTGCAATGGTGACAACTTCCAAATTCTCTTGGCTTCGGCACACTGCAACATCATATGCTCAACAGTTTCTATCCTCGTGCTAATAGTGTTGAGTGACTGATATACGAATATTGTACTAAGTATTGTACTAGTCTATATATTTTTAAGACAAAAACACTTAAATATGAAAGTGTGTATATATTAAAAAAAATGTGATTGTATATCCATTAGGCAATAATATGCCATCATTACTGATTAAAAGATTAATAATGTGGCAGCTTCCGATGGGTCACCCCTCGAGCCTCCACCTCCAATTCCAAAACTCCATAATTGATGTCACTTCTAAATCCCCACCATCTGTGTTATGCCCACTATTTATACAGTGCCTTCAATTATAAATAGCATAAGCAACTCCCATTTTGGCCTTACTTATTATGCCCACTTTTTATACAGTGCCTTGACTTATAAATAGCCTAAAGCAACCCCTATTTTGGCACTAGCAAAACCAATTATTTCCCCTCAAGTATCAAGACCATAATGGCTACCATCTCCCTAGAACAAAACCTCAGCCCTAGGATCACCCCTGAAGAACCCCAACAACGAATCGTAACCGTTGAAATCCCAGGCCTCATCCGGGTCTTCAAGGACGGACACGTGGAGCGGCCCCATCTCGTGCCATGTGTCCCACCCTCATTGCCCCCCGAGCATGGAGTGACGTGCGGGGATGCCACCATCGACGAGCGCACCTCCGTCTGGGCCCGCATTTACCTCCCGAGAGCGGCCCCCCAATTGCTCCCTCTGCTCGTCTACTTCCACGGCGGCGGATTCTGCGTGGGCTCCGCCTCCTGGGCCTGCTACCACCAGTTTCTCGGCAAGCTGGCCTCCGCCGCCAACTGCGTAGTCGTGTCGGTGGACTACCGCCTGGCGCCGGAAAATCCGATCCCGGCGGCCTACGAA